CTTTGCCCCTGCCAATTGGATCAGCTACGGGTTTTTTACGGTGGGTTTGTTATTGTTTGGAGTTTCGTTTTTGCTTTTGTTTGGGGTTTTCGTTTGCTTGCTTGCTGGGTTTTTTATTTTTTTTTGTTTGGCTTCTTGCTCCTTTAACCATAGCGGCAAAGGCCACCTAATGGTCACTGTCTTTTTCATTGGCAATATTACTTTGGAATTTGGACTTGACGTTGTTTCAAACCAGAGAAAGCAGGGATCCAGATTGCTCAATCTGCATGGTCCGTCATGGTAGTATCCATTTCAACTCCACTGACTTCTTCCTTCCTCTTCTGCGGCTGTTCTTCCTTTCTCATTGCTCTCTCTGGGGACTTCCGTGCAGGACATCCCCGGATTAGGTGACGACGGTTATGGAACAAAGACTCTGAGTAAGTTCCCAGGAATGGTCACTGTAACTTCTCTTTGTTTTGTTTTGTTTTGGCTTTTGTTCCTTCTCTGAGGACCTTTCACTCCTAGCATGCACAAGATAGAGTTTTATTTGTTACCCAGCTGTGAATGCACCAAAAACTATGTTTCAATTGTTTTGTTATGCATGAATCTTAAATAACATACAGCGTATCAAACAGATATTTTTACTTCTGTTTCAATAACACCTTTTGTTTCTGACAGTATGTTATTCTTACCATCATGGCAGTTCTGTAGACAGTACCCTACCTAGACCATGTACTGCTGCCAAGAATGTACCTTTCAGCAATAATCCCTATTGATTTAATGGGAAAGTTAAACATTTTAGCTTGGTTACATCCTGAGAAGATCAGTAGGCAATTATTTTATGCTGTTGCTTCTGCATTTTCAACTTTTTTGCATGGGAGTGTTTGTTACTTTGCTGAATTTTAGATTAGTACTTGGTTGTTAATGGAAGAAACCACTTGCAGACGAGAAGACATGCCTTCTCCATGACTTATTTCAGAGTCATTTCACCATTAGCAACCTATTCTTTGTCATGTAAACTTAAATGGTTTCTTTTTCTGGTATGGAGTGATTCTGCTTCAGGAGCTGATCTCAAAGAGTGTGCAGCCTTTTTGTCAGATGACTGTTCACAAATTATTTGTTTCCTGTATAGTCAGACCAAGCAAATTGTACAGAAGGAACTATTTGCAACGACTTCCATATACTTTGATACATTATATGCTGTATCCAGCTCTGACTAATTCCAACAAATTACCATTTATATGTGTATTGGCTGGTTTCTTCTTTCAAGGCTTATTCTTTTTCTTAGGCACCAATTAATTGAAGCAAAATATATATGAATGTTGCCACTGCATCACCTACTGTTCTGTATGTGCTTTTGATTACAGGAATGCATTCATACACACAAGCCTACGAGGTTACTCAATTCCTGTTTGTTTGGGTTTTGGATTTTTTTTTGAGAGAGACTTTCAGTCATACAGTGGTTGACTTTCCCTTTGAAAAATGAAAGCTTTATCTCTTGTAGAGTGGAAGCACAGTGCTAATCTTCTGGCTGATGTGCAACAAAGGTCATTGTCATCAGCCTTTGGACTGTGCCATGACTGAACAGTTTGAGGAAAGTATCCTCAAAATTAATGTAGATACTTCTCTGCACTGTATAAAATGAAGCAGAATTCATCTGATTAGATAAACCCAATGAAACTGTGGCCCCAGAAAGACAAGTATTTCAGAATTATCATTTTAAAAGGCATGGATTTTGGGGGGCAAGCAATTTTATTGGACCAACTGCATGGTTGGAATAAAGTAAGACAAGCTTTCAAATACAAAGCATTCTGCATCAGGTCTGAGATGAAGACCTGATGAAGACCTCAGACCTGATGAAAAATGCCTGGCATTTGAAAGCTTGTCTAACTTTATCCCAACCATGCAGTTGGTCCAATAAAAGAGTCTGCCCAAAAAAGTCCTTGCCTCACATAATTCCTGGACCAGTATGGTTATAGCATCACTCCAACACTACCATTTTAAATATTGAGTATCGACAGATAACTCTGTCCTACTCTATAATTACTTAGGAAAACTACTGTTGCAGTACGGTATATAGTCTCTAGTTTCTTAGCTTTTAATACTGATTTTAGCCTTCAATTATCAGCACTGTTCCAGACCCTTCCAACCCCATCCCAATTTCCCTGATACTAAATAAATACATATAGCAGGCTATTATTTAATAAAAGCCTTGATGATTCCCTATAAAATGTCAATTTGATGCACCCTTTGTTAATTTCTTTTGAGGGTGCTTTGAAAGAATAACATTGGGTAAATCTTGCTCAAAATGTTGATTCTCTGAAAATAAGCCTTTTGCTAAGCCTGTGGACCAACATTTTCCAGGATTACATATAATACATGCCAAATCGTAGGCATTTCTTCAGCCCCATGAACCTTGCTATACGTATCCTGCGCACAGTTTGCTTTGTGTATTTGGGGAAGGTTATGATGATCAGGGAAGAAGGCACAGAGAGGTACTGCTGTGGCATTGTCCCCTGGCAAGCCCTTAAGGGAGAAGCCCTGGATCATTAATGTAGATTCTACTCTTGCTTCCATGAGTTTCATCCCCTTGCTAACAGCTGTGATGTTCTGGGCTGGAGCTTATAAATGTGTTTTTCCAACTAGTGGCTCCGCCTGATTTCCTGATTCGTTTATTAGGAGGTGGCTTATTCACTTCTCAGTTGTTTATTTAACAACCTGCTATTTATATGAACTATCTTTCATATCTAGCTCCTACTAACTTAATCCAGTACCTTTCCTTTCCACCTATCAGTCACTCAGATAGAATATAGGACATTCGTTGGCTAATACAAAGTGGCCTCACATCCCTCATGACCATGCCATCTTCTTGAAAAAGTAGATGAAGCTCACAAACTCATTCATTGACCAATACAAGCCATAATGTAGGGAGCAGCACATGCCCCTCTATAGACACACTGGCCCTAATTTTCAAAAGTGGCCTCTCAGTTCCTTGCTACCCAACTTTAGAGAAACCAGGGGCCTAAGTTTGATCTCAGCTGCCAGCTGAAATCAAACACAAGAAACTGGAGCTGCTCAGCACATGAGCCATAGTAACTTAGAAACAACTTAGAAACTTTAGGACAAAGCTCCTGGAGACTGCTATTCTAATTCCTCTTGCAGTATCCCCTAGGAACTGGCCTCCTCCTGATGGAGTAACCACGATGGTGCCATCTGAGTAGTCCCCCAGCTATGAGAGGTATATTAGCTAGTTACAGTGGGGCTCACCATGTCTTCAGGAATCCTGCTGTCCACAGCCAAAGCACCAATCCATCATGAGCTGGCGCGTGGTTCTTTTGGGGTTCCAGTAAAAACTATGCAGAGCTACTTCATCATTGGCCTTTCCCTTCAGAAACCACCAAAATCAGTCCCACACCCAAGTAATCCAGAGAACGTTTCCTTTCTTTTCTTCCAGGCAGGCAATAGTTTCTGTTGAGGTCTCTGTGGAATATATTATGAAGTTTCTTATACCTTTTGCAAAGATCCCCCACTCCTGGCCCAAATATGGCGAGACACTATTCTGGGTAACTGCAGGTGGTGTCTGAAAAGAACATTTCAACAGGCTGTTTTTCATTTTGTCACCACAATTATTTTTTTATGAGGAATGTATATAAATAAAACTAAAGCACTTAGCAAAACTACCTTTATATTTATTGGCAAACCATATCTGCCATACCTTACTCAATGATTAATGACTAGCACTAAGGTTGGAAGGAGAGTTCTCATTGTAATGAGACCAGTTGCTAGATATTAATGATACACATTATTCATAATTAAAAATAATCTGTCTAGACAACCAGGTTTTACATAATTAGCCTAGAAGTCTAGAGAAGTGTGAATGGGCCACAGTGTATTTTGTTTGATATGAGGGGTTTTTGGGCTGCGGCTGGTCTTTTAGATGACTCCTTTCATTGATTGTGAGTGTGAGTATTACTAGCCATAGGTTCATAGCCCCTTTCATCAATAGACCAAGAGATAAACCTTTCATTTGGATGGTCTGAGTTATCTGAGATTCTCAGTGGGGTCACTGCACTGATTTTACCTCCACTCTGCACACCTTCCTCTGCATGAATGTAGCAGTTCTTTTCAGTTCCAGCTGCTTTGTGGTGCTTGGTCACGTTCTTTAATTTGCTGTACTGTTCTTGCAGAACATGTTTCTTCTAATGCCAGCGATAGCGAAAGTAGCTACCGTAAGTGATTGCTTTGGTTGGAGTCTCTTTACTTTGCATTGCTTGTTTGGTTT